GTGGGATTTGAATCAAAAAATTCTACTGATAAACTACTTCCACATTTCCTAATTTATAGTCATCACAGTCTCTTTCTGGATTTTACTTGTTTCTTTGCTTCTTTTATCAGGGAAAAAGTTGAACTTAATTTCTCAAAAACTACTAAAGAGATTAGTAGGAGGTGATGTCTATGCAGAAGCTTGAGGATTAAAAAAAAATCTGAAAGTACCCTCCCTTCAACAGTTAAAATGCCTTTCATTCCTTCAATGGGTTTAGCTTTTTATTAATTCACATCACTTTTGTTTTCTTTTTTTTTAAGTTGGATTTTTTACTTCACTTTGAATAAACATAATAAACGGACTAGAAAGTGTTGGCTAACCTTACACAGTCATGGGAGAGAGACAGAGAGATAAAAATTAGTATGAGATTGATTTAGTGGTGTAAACTAAGGAAAGAAGACCACCTAGAGGCATCTGTCTGAAAAAGAAACCTTTTTTTTGTTGTTGTTCAGGACTGCAGGAGAGGGTGTGCTTGGGTGAGTCTCTGAGTGCTTTGGATATGAAGTATGGATTTGGGCATTCTTAAACTTGTAATGCATTTGGTTGAAAATACTAAAGGAAGAACTGTGGCTACTGTGGGAAGAAGGCTGACAAGGACAAACCTCTGAAGTTGTGATTTTATTCAAGCTACTGAGGGTAATGATTTAAGTGAGATCTTCTGTTTGACTAGAACTGGGACTGGTCCTCTGGGACAGAAGTGGGTCACTATAGTGTGGCTGCTCTTGAGACAATTGATCATTCTGAATACTTTTGCAAATTATTTCACTTCCTCTTTCCGGTTAGTATTTTAGCTTTTCTTTCTAAGAATTACTGATTTCCAACAAAACATACTAGTTTTCCCCCAAAGCCCTTATTTAGTTAGATATTCAGAAAAGGTGAGTAACTTGACTAAGGGTAATAAACCGATAGAGCCAGTATTATAGTTAGATCTGAACAGACAATAAAATATGTGCTTCTGAGCACAGTACTATAGATGGATGGATGGATGGATGGATAGATAGATAGGAAGATAAATAGATTGATTCTCTTGGAAAAATCCCTAAAACTCTATTGAAAGGAATTTGAATATTCAAGTGTTTTATTTTATTTTATTTTATTTTATTAAATATTTTCTATTTTAGTTGTAGATAGACACAACACCTTTATTTTATTTTTAGGTGGAGTTGAGGACCAAACCCAGTTTCCCATGCATGCTAGGCAAGCATTCTACCACTGAGGCACAGCCCTAACCCTCAAGTATTTTACAATTAAGTTATCTTCCTTAGAGTCTTGTGGGAAGTAGTGGTCCTCTAGAAGTTAGCAAAATTGTAATATCGAAAGAATACCAAGTTTGTTAATCAGGGGACCTAATGGTAGGTCATGAAGGAATGACAACAGGAATGAGGTCTTATCAATAAATAAATTTTTCTGCTTCCCCTCAACTGAGAAGTTTTGTATAACTCTCAGGGAAGTTCCCAATGGTCTTATGCTTTAGACAAAAGGGTAAGTGGTTTGACTTGTCTTCCCAAGTCTTTTCTTTTGGCCCCTTCTGTTCTTCATGTCCTATTGCACTACTGCACTCTCACCTAATTGTAAAGTAATCCCCAGTTGGGTGTCTGTTGATGGCTTTAGGGTGTTACCACCACCAAGGGTATTTGCATTTTAATGGAAGGTTTTAAAAGAACTTCAAGCTTTGAGTCTGAAAGCAATAAATCTCTATTGGTGGAATTTGAGGCAATGTGATAGATTGGGCAGCAGAAATCTGTGGTGAAAGGAGCCCACTGGGTCTGTTCTAATCACAGCATGAGTTAAAGTGTTCCTACTTAGGAGCCTGACTTCTCCTTCCAGAGTGAAAGCTGTGAGGACAACTCCTGTGGCCAGAATAATAAAGCACTCCTGCAAGGTTTCATTTTCTTTAAAACAAGCTAAAGGACTAAAAATTTAAATCTTTTAACTTCCTCTGCATTTTCTACCTGCTCTATGGCATCTTGATAGAGGTCTCCCATTCCTCTCCCTTTTCTCTGGACTTGAGATGTATATTTAGCATTTGTTTAGACTTGGAATTTCAAACTTTGTRCATTACTTTTTATATCCTGGAAGTTTTTTGATCACTGGAATTGATAAGGTGAGATGCTTAAGGAATTTGGGGAGAAATGGCTTCATAAATAGGTTAAAATTTATTTAAACAAATATAATGGGCTAGGTGTCATTCTTAGTTTTAAGGACACAAAGGCCTCATTTTATGCAGTCTGCCATATAATCTTGGTAGCAAAACAGATRAATATGTTACTTGCAAGCAGTGCAGAAAGAATTATGTGTTGCTCACCATAAGCTGTGAACTATCACAATGTCTTAAAAGAATACCCAAACTTGATATTGTTAGTAAGAAGAATGATTAAGGTTAAGCTAAGTAAGATGAAGATGAGGATGGGTTGGTGTAGAAATGTTGACAAAGGAAGCAACAATTAATGAAGATTGAGTAATAGAGGACCAAAGCAACTCAAGAAACTCTTAAGAAATGTAAATGTGGTAGGGCCAAATATAAGCCATAAATATAGGAATAGAAGGACAGACCTGGAAAAGTAGGCAAGGGCCAAGTAGTAGGGGCCTGGTTCCACACTGAGAGTATGAATCCAATAAGGAACAATTGATATCTTTAATCTAATGTAAAACATAGTCAAATCTACATTTTAGAAAAATCCTCTGAAATCAGTATGGAGAGTTGTCTTGACTCTATGCTGTACAGTGGGACAAAGTTGGAAGTGGGTCTTGGAAGAGTTTAATAGATTTGGAAACCTTTAATAGTAGCTCAACTAATAAATGAGTGGTTGATCTGGAAGACAAGAGTGGGGGCAAAGGAAAGAGAACAGATTTAAAACAATGTCTTCATAGAGATGATATTTGAGTGAGTAAGAGAAGGAAAAGACAGAGCTGAGTCCTGGATTTTTGGTTTAGTCAATTAGGTACCATTTTGCTGAACCAGGGAAAGTGGAATAGATTTTAATGGGGCACATGCTGAGTTCAGATTTGGACAAGCTGAGTCTTAGATTATTATAGAACATCGAAGCAGGGATGTTTACTAGATAGGCATCAATCTGTCTGAATCCCAGGAGGAAGATCTGGGCTGTAGATGTATATTTAGCCATTAGTCTTTAGCATCTAAGTGATGACAATAGAAGAGATCATTCAGAGAGAATGGAGACTATTAGAGGGATGTTGATTGATCCTAGGCAAATAACAAGAGTTAAAAGCCAACCAAGGATGAGGAGTAATAATGAAGAATAAGAAGACTTAGCTAGGGAGATACTTCAGAACAAAAAGCCGGAAAGTATCCCTATTGCTTAACAAAACAGACAAGCTTGCAAACAATCTCCCTGCTGTTTTCCCAAATCCCTCCAGGATCTGACCCCTGCAATAAGTTTAACAGTCTCAGTSGTTTTGTTACCTGACACGTTTCAGTTCATTTGAAACAACCTTATCCAATTCTACATTTCTATTATTTTTATTCTTTTCAGTATACTATCCTTTTCGCCCATTCTTTTCTTCTCCACATCTAAGTCATACTTAGGAATTTTCTTCTAATGCTTCCACTGCCATCTTTCTTCCCTGAACATAGATATCAACCTATGTTCCAATGAAGAGGTGGGTCGAAACTTCCTTATGAGACTTAGCCTATTACAATTTGCATTGTAGTTATTTCTGCACTTGGCAAGAGTATAAGCTCCTGAAGACTAACAACTCATTCCCTCAAATTATCCTCCATAGTGTAACTGCTTTAAAAACAACAGGTATTTATTTAGTGATTGTTTGTTTAATGACCACATATACTACATAATAAAATAAGAGAAAGGATCTTTGAAACTTCTGATGAGTCAAGGGGACTCAGCTGGGGCAAACACAGAAATACTTATGAAAGATATATCTAGGTGTATACCGGCCAAATAAATTATGGAAGAACATTTCATAAAAATGCATTCATTATACAGAAGCAAAAAGGTAGAAATATAGTGATAAGAATGTTTGTTCAAAATTTGCTAATTTATATCCTTGATGTTATTTATATATAAGATCAGCTAAGATTTGTCTCCTTTTCAACCTCTGATTTGATAATTTTAAAAATGGGCATGTGAAAGACAACTACTGCTAAAACATAAGCACAACGTTTTTATTTATCTAAAAACAGAAGTAAAATGCTCCATTGACAATTTCTCAATGATGTCCTACAAATAACTCCAAGCTTTTCCAATATATTTTAGTATATTAAAAATAAGGTAACTTAGTGGGGTTGTTCACTTAAATAAAATAAGGGTTAAATGATAACTTGACTTATCTTTTAAATGACAAAAAATAAAGAAATTGCAAGACCTTTTCACACATTAGATATGTATTGTCATTTATCATCTAGATATCAGGCTAGCAGTGCGAAGTAATAAAACATATCATCGAAAAATGTGCTATAGGTCTGAATCACTCTTTCATTCCACCTCCCAGCTAACTGTAGTATTAAATCAAACAAGCAGAACATTTCCTTAGGCAGCCATTGCCTTTTAATTTCCTGAAGAACCTTAAAATATCATTCATTACAAGTACTACACATATTTGGTTTTTAAAAGTCTCATAAATCAATAGCAGGCTGACTGTAATAATTATTACAAGTTAGTGCATAATTTTCGTGCTGAAGGCTGCATGCAGAACTTTAGCATATGCAAACGAGGCAATTCAAACTGTGTATAGATATTAATATGAAGAAGCAGGTAACGAGGTGCAGGCTATGAATTATGCATCAGGAGTGGCTGATCTTCAATGAGGAAAATGAATTCAGCATGTAATCTAATTAGTGATGGAAGTCTATTACATCTAACTGCAAAAGCAACCGTCCTTGAAACAAATTTATTTACAGTCCATGTTACCACTTGAAACAACTTTGAAATGATGTGTAAGACAACAGCTTAATTGTAAAATTTTTTGTTTGTTTGTTTCAGTTCTAGACCTGGAAGGCCTCCTAAGAGGACTCAAAGTGTCACCTCCCCAGAGAATTCTCATATCATGCCACATTCTGTCCCTGGCCTCATGTCTCCTGGAATAATTCCACCAACAGGTAAGATTCCTACTTATTAATGCCAAACATATTAAAAATTAGCCAATTCCATAGATTGTATACATACTTGTTTTTACACTGSTACATTCATATATCGATTATATTTTTGTGCACACTACAATAACGTTACTGCTAGCAGTTTATTCAAAACTGCTTTATAATCAACTCCATTTCTTTCTTTAAAATAAAATGAAAGAAACTTAATTGAGCACASGGTTAGAAGTTGCTTTAATTAATCCTCCTACAAATATCAAAAACCAAATAATTGTTCCTATTTTCTTGTTAAGGAATAGAAGCGCAGAGAGCATCAGTGACTTTCTCAAGGTCAATGAACTGATAGCTTTCCATGGTTACTCACACCCAGGTCTCTCGATTCCATTCTATACTTAATTCTCATTCTGTAAGAACCCAGAAATGAGAGGCATACATTTTAACAGCAGACAATGACTATGTCTAATAGAAATATCTGCTATTTTTCTCAAATAAATTTCTCTTAGATTCATTTAAAGGAAGTTTATTTTTAGAATTTTGAAAATATATAAGTAAAAAATAGTTGACCACATAGAATCTATGCTATAAAAAACTTGAATAAGGTAGTGCAGCAAAAATTAATCATTTGATTTTCAACAAATGATTGTCAACAAATGAATGTGTTCATTAATTCTTTTGTTTACTTATATATTTGTCAATTGGCAGTTTTTCCTCAGGAAATCAGCCATATCCTAAGCAAATTAAAAGAATGATGATATTATTATATGACATAATATTTATATTAATTCTCAGAGTCATGGGAGTTTCATATGGAGAGAGACATATAAATGTCATGTAACACAATCTATATAATATAAATCTGGCAAGAAGAAAAGAAAGATTTCCTTTCGTCTCTGAGTTCTTCTATCAATATTTTCTTTTTCATTGTAACATTTGTCTTTTTTTCTGTGGCTTAATATAATCTTGGGTTATCTGATTTCAAATTCCATATTTGGGCCAATTTCCTTGAAGTCAATGACTATCTCTAATATATCTTTACTTTTGTTACAATATGTGAAGATTTCATTGACCTTTATGGATATTTATCAGACATTAGTTGAGTTTCAATGTATMTATTTCATACATTTTCATCAATGCACTAAAGGATTTTTAATAGCAAATAATTGAAATTTCCATAAAAATTTGACTTTTTGTGCTAATTTTGTGGATGAAAATTGAGATATAAAATAATGAAGTTAGTAGTTGRAAGCTTCCCAATTACAAGGCAGGTGCCACCATTTCCATTTAGTCAAGCATGTTTCTCAAGTAACTGAATTCTACTCATGAAATTCTGATTTCTAATTGGGATTTGAAATTTCTCATTTCTAATTTGGGATTTGGAAAAGGAACTGGAAGCAGATTATTTAGCGTTGACTGCTTATAGTTAATTAAATAATAAAATTTCCTCCTTTAAGAATTTAKATTTTTGGTTCYACATAGGAAAGTCTTTTGTACTAGTCAACTTTTCATATATTTTGTAGTTGAAAAACTCAAGTGTAAAAGGAGAAAGATCTGAGTTTGGGACATAATTAATTTTAAATGAACTATTTTTTGTTGTTTGGGATTTTTTCATGGCTGTTTTATGATTATTTTTCTGGATTTGGTAAACTACACTGATTCTCAAAAGTTACTTAATCACAGTTCTCTGAAGGGAAAAAAATATATTCTACACTACATTCATTTGAATAGGAAAGATCTCATTCCAAATTGTCTTCCCATATTTAATCTTTCATGGTGAAGACAATAAAAACTTTATTACTAAATCAATAGTGAAAAAAAGGATGCCATCAAAATCTAAATGTACCAATACCTCACACAATTAACACCATCCAGTATCTCTGAAGGAAGTAAAGTTTCTAAATAAAAGAAGTTCATATGCCCCCAAAACAAAATATTAAATTAATTTTGAAAAATTTCTTCCTAAAATACGTTACACACTTTTTTGGCTGAACAAAGATGCTGAAGATAGTTTCAGCTTGACTCATCATTGATTCTTAATTTTAGAAGCAGCATCATTTTTTWAAAAAATTTCAGTTGCTGTGCTATTCTTCTGTGATAGGTTTTTGTATCTCTGTTCTTTCTAATGTGCTGTGAACCACCAAAACAGGATTTCTGTCAAGATTATCAAGCATTATATTGAAAAAGACCTTAAGCAGTCATATTCTAGAGAAGAAATGAGGAAATGGAGGCTCCTGAGGAGAGTCCCCTGAGTTGAAAAGGGGATCTTGGAGAGTTCAATGCTCTCTAGAGCCCAGTGAATGGCTTTGGGTTTGTGAGCTCACTTCTCCCTAACTCACTCACTTTCCTCTTTTAGAAAGTGGTCCAAAGGAGTGAGGTTGCCATAGTGTGAGTGTTGTACTCAAATGGTCTTATCATAATATATTCCATATAATTTCTCTTTTTACATAAAATCTTTCTAGATGAAGCAGTTTCAATTTTGGAAAATACGGAATAAYGACTTCATATACTGGGAAACGTATTCACCATTTTATTAACTGGATATCTAATGGCCTTGTAATGTAGTTTGAATTTAGATTCTAGAGCCTAATGGAGATAAGAACATAGAAGGCATTATGTATTTTTGTATAGGTTATGATTGCTGCATGTGAGCCTTATCATCCATCCATGCCTCACACCTTTCTCCAAGGAACTACTTTTTGTATTGGGGGAGTGGTATTCAATATGAATATATAAGCTTTCATATTCCAGGACTTTGTATTTGCTACTTCTCTTTTAAAAATGATGTATTTTCTTTATTTCCCTGAGAAAGGCAAGTGTGTTATTGAAAAAGTGATAATTCTATATTTCTCTATTCTTGACATTGAGCAACCTGTTTGATAATGTATATACAAGTTTTTTACACTGAGTTTGAATTTTAAAAAATTGCTTCTAATTTGGGGATTTAGTTCAGCAGAGCATTTGCCTAGCAGGCATAAGGCCTTTGGCGGGGTGGGTGGGTAGGGAGAGGACATTTTTTTTTTTTAACAAGGAATTACAGTTATTTCTTATCTTTAGAAGATGTGGATTTGGGGGTTGAGGTTCCAGCTTAGTGGTATAGCTCTTGCCTAGCATGCATGAGGCCCTCTGTTCAATGTCTACCACCATAAATAAATAAAAGACATGTACTTTGCATTTCTAAAACTGGCAAAACAATTGAAGAGATATAATGTAAATATCAAGATTAAAAGGAAAGATACAAACAAAAATCCCCCCAGATTTCAAATCCCAAAATTTAAATTGTAGCCTACTTTATCAACATTGACTTGTATGTTTGTATTTCTCATGGTGGTAGCAATTTAAAAGAATAAAATGGTGTAAATTTACCTTTTAAGTTGCTTACTTCAGTCCAGTGAATTTCAACAAGTTCATAAATATCCATTTATTTATTCCTAGTCATGCCCATTTTTTTTTTAATTTTCAAAAGTTGAACATTGGAATTTGTCATAACTCCTGGAAGTGTTTGTTTTCTCAGGCAAAAAAGACTATCATTATATATTTGTTTTAAAAGTCATTTTCCTTTCTTAAAATTATATATTTAGATATTTATAATAAAGAAGGCAAAAAGCAAACAGAACAAAACAAAGAACTGTGAGATTACTTATGGAGTTTTTTTATTTTGTTTGCTCAAGTAGACCTMTATGTAACCTTAGAAGTGGTTGTGGGCAGATGGTAATTTCCAAAAGTTATGATTGTCACTAGATGCCACAGCAACCGAAAGTTGAAGTTAATGAAAAAAAAGAAAAAAGAAAAATTGTGAAGCCTCTTTGTAGCACTACCTCCTGCAGTGGTCGCCACATTTATTTTGACTGAGCATTTGTCTTAAATCATTTTTTATAATAAACACTGGTTTTAAATAAATTCCTTTTTTTTTTTGGCCCCTAGAATTGAACTTAGGGGCATTCTACTGCTAAGGCACACCCCTASCCCTATTTTGTAYTTTATTTAGAGACAGGGTCTCACTGAGTTGCTTAGTGCCCCACTTTTGCTGAAGCTGGCTTTGAACTTGAGATCCTCTTGCGAGCTGCTGAGATTACAGACTTGTGCCACTGAGCCCTGCTGCAATAAATTCCTTTTTACAACAGAACTCCAATAACATTCTTGRTTTTTATAGAATCATGACTATTTACAATTAAGGAAAGGGTATTTAGGAATTCAGAATGCTCCCTTCTTGTGCCAGCAGTGCAATTTGGATAGAGTTTTGGCCAACTTCCTGATTTTTATCTTTAGATCATAATACAAAYTGGGTTTGGAATACAAATTTCCTATTAGTATTAAGAAGTTACCTACTGAGTCAAGTACTTGCATTTGACATTAAAAGAAAAGTTATCCAATACCTATTTATTTCAAATACTCTTATCAAATGAATGATTTATAGTTTTGCTTCTTGGGCATTTCTTTTCTCTCACAGTTAATTTGTAGATATATACTCAATATGCATTTAGAGGAAAGAAAGCCACTGTGTGCACATATACATTATACCTCTAAGGCAAAATTTATTCCTTGCAAATTTATCATTTTTGAAAAAATACACGACCAGGAAAATATTAATCCAAAGTTAATCCAGTTGAAACAGTTTTTCTCTGTGTGTGTGTGTGTGYGTTGTCAGGGATTTAACCCAGGGCCTTGTGTATACAAGGCAAGCACTCAACCAACTGAGCTGTATCTCCAGCCCCCAAAAATTCTAATTTGAAACAAAATTGAAAGAAATGTATTTGCATATGGAATGTTGATACAACATGTATTTTCAAATATTATGTTCTTTATTTTTCCCCTAAATATTAGTTACCAACTACAACTCTAAGCTACCCTTTGTAATATCAGCATTTGTAATATTTTCAATGCCTTAATCACAGTATTTTCTCAGGAGATAATTCATAGTTTGGAACTGTGCCTTGTATGTTGATAAATTTATTATAATAAATGTATTGTATTCCATGGGGGGACTTACAAGTAAGGAAAACAGAAAGATA